AAGGCTGATTCCTATGAATCCAGACGCACTGCCACCCTCCAAACTTTTTACTAACTCTGACACCAACCATCCCTCCCACAGCATTCCCAACTTCTCTACTGGGTTCAATAATTTGTTGCAATGGCCACACAGAACTCACAGACAATACTCACGATTATGGGGTTTATCAGGATAAGCTACAATTCAGGTTCAGGAATGCCCTCAGGACATAATTCTTTGAAGGACAGTCTCCCCTCTGTTTTGCCCTCAGGCACACCTCTCTGGCCCTTGGTCTTTTGGCCTGGCCTCTGCCCAACTCGGGCAAGTGGTACAAAGTTCTTTTAGCTCTGTGAATAGGTACATCTCCATGCACCCCACTCTGCCAGCAAGCCTCCTGCCCAAGGGCACTCAGCTTTCTCTCTCCGTGGGCTGGCAAGCCCACTGCTCTACCTTGTGCCTCTTGTTTCCACTGCCACCATCTCTTAGCTGGGTGTCTATCTCAGTCTGGTGTATTTCTCTACTGACTGGGTGTCTCTGCTAAGGAAGTCCAGCTCAGGGGTCTTGGGTCCAAGGACACACTCTACTTCACCTCCAGCTCTTCTCTCTTGATGGCAGTGAGATCCCCTCTCTGCCTCTAGGAGGGTGCATTTTAAGCCTGGCAGAGTGACAAAACTAACCAGTCCCAACACCAGAGTCCTCCACGTCTTCTTTGCATGGTCCCACCCTGTAATCTGGTGGGAGTTACAAAGACTGTGGCTAGAAGAGCCACGCCAAGTAACCCACTGCACTGCTCTTAGAGTCACACTTTGTGCATTCCACAATCTGATGATTAATGGACATTTGCAGCTGTTTCTTCTCATTTTGAGTTGTGCACCATCATGCAGCAATTGAAGATCCCGGAAGCTTGACTCCATTCATGTCGGTCAGGTTGATGTTACCTTGAGGAAGCAGCCCTTCCCCAGTCATACTTTGAGTGCCTCCCAACCAGAAAGGCTCCCTTCTGGCACTATATCAGACAATGTCTTAAGGCTATCCACAAGGTTTTCAGTGGTCACTTCCTTCAGAAGTAGACTGCCATGTCTTCCTTCCTAGTCTGTCTTGGTGTGGAAGCTCTGCTGAAACCTGTCCACCATGGGTGACCCTGCTGGTGTTTGCAATACTAGTGACATAACCTACAGCCTCACAGCAACACGCGAGCCACCCACAGCACGACAACTTGACAGATGAGTGGTGGTCTATAATTACAGCCTCGGAAACCCTATAGGGTGGCCATGTGTGGCAATCAGGGTGAGTTCCATTATGGTGCCCAAGCCCATCCTGTCTTTGTGTGTACGTACCTGCCACGAGGACCCTGTTACCTGGGATCCAAACTTCCCCACTGCATGTGTATTTCCCTATTCAGTGAGGCAGTTCTCCCTGTGATTTCTGACCTGCAGAGAACAATTATGGCAATCTTCAAGGATGCTGGGGCTCCCTTCACAACTTTATTCCTCATAGTTGAGGTGGAAGGCGTGTCCTCTGGGCACTCCCAGGGTGGATGCCCGGGGCTGACATACCAAATCCACTCTAGCATTCCGGTCTCCCGAAGTCTACAGGACACCAAGGCAGTTGTGCTGCTTCAACTCCCTTGCTTAGGGCACCTTTGGGTCCATGTTGCAGCCAATCAAACAGTTCGAGCCCTTTCTTACCCCTTAAGCTGTTGCACTGAAGACAGTCTCTGCTTAGTGGGCCCATATCAGTAAGTTCTGACTGATTGGCCTTTAGGTTTGTTAGCCTCACTTCATCCCACACATTTCACATCCATTCCCGTACACACTCTCTGCATTTCCGTCTATATAAACTGCACATACCATGCACCTCCTCACGGGCCACCTTGTATACCTATCTCACTTTTTGGTCCTGCTAGGACTTGAGTCTAGTCATAGGTCTAGAGGCAAAAAGGGGTGGAGGGAAGGGGCTTAGATTCTGAGGAGGATCAGCAGTGTCTTTCAGGCAACTTCAGCAGGGGAGGCCATCCCACGTTCTCCTGGCAACGTCACGTTGATCACCTCAGAGTAGAAGGGCTGTTTGTGCTGGAAAGAAGACTCATCAGAATTCAGAGTCCATTTCCTCAGCTTCATCTTGACCTTCCAGTTTCTAGGATCCCATTCTTTCGCAGTCATTACTGAAGGCGCACTGAGCATCTGCTGAAGCAAAAGACCCGCTATGGTCAAGTTGTTCCAACTCATAGCAACGCCCACCGGGTTTCCCAAGCTGTCCATCTTTATGGAAGTACATTGCTCCCACTTCCTTCCTCAGTGGCTGCTGGGTTTGAACTGCTGACCTGGTCAGCAGCCAAATGCCTTATCCACTATGCCACCAGAGCTCCTTAAGCTTCCGCTACGGGTGATGGAAAAATCTGGAAGTGGGTAGTGGTGATGAATGACGGTTGTTGATGTCACCGAGTGGTCCAGGAAACAAGTGTTGGAGGCAGGGTACTGGGGGCATGGTGGCCTTTCTTAGCAAGCAGGTAGCCTCCTCAGCCTTTCCCCTCCTGGCCCCACCTGACGTCCTGACATCCTCTGCCACTGTTCCCTCTCCTGCTGCCCACTGCTCAGCTCTGGGTGGTGAAAGCCCCACTGGGTCTGGGGTCCTCATGCAGGTGGGTTTCTTGGGTAACGGCAGGGACAGGCTAAGGACTGTGTCTTCCTACACCAGAGGAAACCTCCCCCGGAAGGTGGGTGGGTGGGGTCGGGCTAAACGCCTGGTGCTCCCTCTGCAGCCTCTAGGAATGGGTGGTGAGGCGAGGGGTGGGGCCTCCCCCCGGCTGGGCCCTCTTAGGGCTTCTCATTACCCCTAATGGGAGCCCCTTGCCCCGTGGGCACCGTCAGGTCAGGCCACTGCTGCTCTGGCCTGAGGAGCCGTCGGCAGCCCCCTCTCCTCTGGCCTCTTCCTCATTCAGGGCCTGAAACCTATCAAGTCAGTTGATCCTGCCCCATTCAATTCTGAGACTTTCTTCTCCCCCACCCCACCCTGTACTCCCAGTGATCCTGCCCCGGGCCCCCTGCATGGCCAGGGGACCCCCCTACTGGCCCCTGCAGTGCTTCACCTGTTCAGCCCCAGGGGTCAGGCAGCCGCCATGTGTGGTGGTGAGGACATTCAGATGGTCTTAGGGGTAGAGGTGTCCAGAGGGATGACCCAGAGAGCTGAGCTCTCTCACTCCACAGCAGCACCAATGGCCTGGGCTGGGGAGACGTGGGCCTGCCTGGAGACAGGGGAGGTCCCTCTGCCCCCTGGGCAGGAGTGGGGGTGCTCAGGCTGGATGTGTCCACAGCAGGAAGCTGGAGATGCCTGGGAGGAAGGAACCCCTGCCCCCCACATGGTCCCCTAGGCCGGCACTGAGGCCCTTTCTGCCCCCCGCCTTCAGCCCCTTGAGTCTTCCAGAAGGCAGGCCCGCACCCCCTGACCAATCTTCCTCAAGGCTGCAGCCCTGCAAACCCCCACCCCCACCCGAGGCTGGTCCACTCTCACTTACTTTGTGGACCCCTACCCATGCCTCCATTCTGAGAATGAATGTCACCAGGCTTGAGCCCTGCCTCACCTGCCATTGTTGGACAAGAAACAGACAAGGCACCCAACCCTGGGGATAGGAGGTAGCTAAGGCCCCCACCTCAGGGACAAGGGACAACCAAACCCTCTACCCTGGGGACAGGAAAGACACCACCCCAGGAACAGTGGGCAGTCAAGCTCTCCCACCTTGGGGACACAGGACGACCGAGGCTCACACCCCAGGGACAGGCGACCACCAAGACCCTCTATCCCAGGGACAAGGGACAGCCAAGCTCCCAACTTGGGGACAGGGGATGGCCAAGACCCCCACCCTGGGGATGGAAATGGCCAGGGTCCCTGTCCTCAGCTGCCCTGTCCCCTGACAGCCCTTCCTGGCAGCCTTAAGAGGTCCTAGACTGGCCTGGGCTCCCATGTCATCCTGCACAACCCCCCCCCCCCCAAGTTCCAGAGCCTTGCAGTGGTAAAGGGGTGTCTACTGAGCCCTTCACGCTCTGAGAAAGCCCTGGGGCCCACACGGCAGATAGAAGGAACCCCAGAGGCCTCAGCCGCTGGGCAGTGGGTACAAAGGGCCATGCAGGTGGGGGCCAGGTGGCAAGGTGGCCTAGGAAACCCAAGGCAGGAGAGAAGGGATGAGGGGGAGCGGAGGAGGGGGCCCTGGGCAGCCACAGTGGCCTGCAGGTGTCCTCAAGCCTACATACTCCTTGCCTCTAGTGGGGTTCCAGGCTAAGGATGGGGTGGGGCTTCCCTGCTTTGGGGGCTCCCCAAAAGGACCAGCCTGCAACCCCCTTGCCCAGGCCTGCCGTGACTCTTCTGGGGGCCTTGCTTGGCTGCCTGCCCTGGCAGGAGACTTCAGGAGGTCCAGTGGCTGTGGCCCGGCTCCGAGCAGCTCATGGCCAGCACCCATGCTGGTGGATGAACAGTGTAGGCGTCTGAGGATGGGGTGTCCAGTGCTCTCTGCCCCTCCAACCCCTCTTCCCTGCCACTGTCGTTTTTCCCCATACCACTGCCTAGCCTCACTGTCCCAGCACGTGGCCTAGCCGTGGTCAGGACAGGGGCTGAGAGGAGGATGAGATGTGGAAGTGGGGCTTGCACACGCTGCATTTTGGCCCCTTTGGGGAACCCTGGCACCCAAAGTCAGAGTGCAGGACCCCAGGAATCAGTCCTGAGACCAGTGGCAGCCAGCTCTTGGGAGCAGCTTATGGCCTGGCTGCCTCCACCAAGCCCAGCCGTTTACACCATCGGCCGCCGGTGGGAGAGGCCCTCAACTCATTCTCCGCCGCCTCTTCTCTCTGCAAAGGGTTTTGAGGGATTTCTTAGAAAGAATAACCAGGGAGAGCCGGCCTCAGGCTCCATGGCCACCAAGCCGGCTTCCTCAAGCCGGCTTCCTCTCCCGCCCTTCAAAGCCACAGCAGGAGGGCAGTGTCCCAGGGAGCCAGAGACCCAGGTGACCAGCTGTCTTCCTTCCTCCCCAGCAAGCAAGGGCTCTGCGTGAAGGACCCAGACGGCAAGGGTCCCAGCAGGGAGCTCCTGGCCAACCAGCAGGCCCAGGTGTCCCCACGCTCGGGTGCCCATGAGGCTGGGGCCTGGCCTGCTGCTGGCCTAGAGATGGGTCTGCCTCAGCTTGCTGGCATGAACACGTGACACCCGCAGTGGGCACCAAGGCATTGGAAGGGCTGGGTGGCAGAGACTAGCATACGACCAGAGGGACCAGGAGGGCTTCCTGGAGGAGGTGGGGCAGGGGAAGCCTCCACCTCAAGGTGCGCTGTGAGAGAGACCCCTGTCCCCAACCTCTCTAGATTCCTGAGCAGTGTGGTGGAGCTGGAAGGCAGTGGGTGGGGCAGAACGGAGCAGCCAATGAGAATGAAGACCAGGAAGGCATGGGGGTCCCATCTGCCAGAGCCACTCCAGAGTGAGGGTGGTCACAGGGGTGGGCAGGGTGCACCCGGGAGGCAGAGCAGCCTGGAGGACGGAGCCAGGGTGCTCCCCACATGGCTCTACCACCTGCACATCCTGTGAGCACTTACCCCCGAGCCGTGGCCCTGCCGAGCGGATGGGGGACTCTGGGCAACAGGATCCCAGGGCCCTGCGTGACGCTGTGTGCTCAGCAGCCCTCTCAGTCACACCCGTTGTGCCCCTGTGCCAGCCCTGCATGTACCCACTCTCCCACTGTGAGCAACACCCCCTAAATCATGGCCAGTCCTCGAAACTGCCCTGTAGATGCGCCCCCCCCCCCCCCCGGGGCCTCGGGTCAACAAGACTGAATTCAGAGACCCTGACGGGGCCTCTGCCTCCCATCACTGGCCTGCCACTGCCGCCTCTGCGGTCAGCAGGCCCCCCGGCCCTGCCTTGCAGTCCCTGCCCATGGTGTCCTTGCCCTCCAGCCCCTCTGTCCCACCAGCGCCCCTGAGACCCACCCCACTTTCCCCCACTGAGTCCCCAAGGTGAGGGTCCCCTCTAAGCAAGCCTAATCTGTGCCCCCTGCTTGTTGGGGAGCGGCCTGGCCCCCAAGAGCACCCCTGGTGCATTTCAATGAGGTGTTGTTGACACAGCTTTGCAGAAGCCCCAGAGCCGCCAATGGACCCCTCTGTCTGGGCGCCGCGTGCCGACACAGTGCGCTGTTTCACTGGCTGCCAGGCCGGCAGACCGTGGCCTGGGCACCGCGGCGAGGCAGCCACTTCCTGGCGGGGACGTGTCTGGGCGCCACGCAGGTCTGGGCCCCTGGGTCTGGAGGGAGCAGAGGTAGGTTTTGTGACCTCCGGCAGGTGCCCAGAATAGGACCCCAACCAAAGCCCCAGGCCCATCAGGGTGACCTCACAGCAAGCCAGCGTGGGCAGACCCACAGGTCACAGATGTTCCCAGGGGAGAGACCCTCAGGGAACTGTTGCTGTCCTGGGGCCCCTCCCCCCAGGCCCTGCCTGGCCTGACCCAGCCTGGCTGCCCAGCCTGGCCCGTCAAGGGGGAACATGGTAGGGGCCTGGTGCACACCCCTCCGAGCTGAAGGCCTGAGGATCCGTCAGCTCCTGGTGACATTCAGGCGCCCCAGTGTACCCTAGAACGCCCCCACAGGCCACGCTGCCTCTGCAGGCTGCCCCTGAAACACCACCCCTGGGCTGCCCCAGTGGGGCGTGTGCCCCACAGCCTGATGTGAAGGATAAGAGGGGGCCACTCGAGGCTGGGGGGCCTCTCCCTGAGGGGGAGGGTGAAATCCCGGACCTTGAACTTTCAGTGAAGCAGTGCCGGGAAGGACTGGCTTTGGACTGTGCCGTTGGTTCCCACCCCCAAGCCCACCGCAGGCAGAGCCCACTGGTGAGGTGGGGGAGGGCAGAGGGTGGGCATGGGCATGGGCACTTGGCAGGCACTCCATCCCAGAAGTGGCTGGGTAGCCCATCATTTCATCTGTGTGTGTGTGTAGGGGGGGCTTGAGCCAGCTTGCTAACCAACCTTTGGCGTGCCCTGCTCTGACCAGCATCACCCATCCCAGCCCCCAGGCCTGGCACAGGGCCAGTGCCTGTTCCTCACCGCGCCCGAGAGGGTGACAAGCCCAGAGGAGCTGGTGTGTGGACAGGTCATGAGCCCTCGGCCTGGGGGACACTGGCCCAGGGGATCTGCCCCGGAGGACTCCCAACAGGCCCTGACGGTGGGCCCAGACACTCCCGGAAGCTGGCTGGGGGTGACCCAGATAGGTGGGGGATGGCTGGTCCATCTTGTTGCCCGTCCTCCCTTCTGGCTCCCCGCCCCCGGGTAGGCACGGCAGGGTCTGACTGCTCCATGGGCCGCCCCAGGCCCCCTCCCCCGCCACCACTAGGGGAGCTGCTCTGGAGAGGAGCCGGGCAGGCAGTGCTGGCAGCCTGGCTCCCTGAGGCGGGCGGGCAGGGCAACGGGCAGGGCTGCGGGGCTCCGTCTGCCTTCTCACGGGAGCAGACCGTAGCATCGGGTGGCGTGTCACATTTATTGTCACTTGGACCTGTGGGAGTGCTGAGTGCTGTGGGGCCTTGTCCCCTTCCAGGAGCCCAGGCTGGCCTAGGTACGGCCCAGCCTCTCCTGGAGACACGCCTTAGCTCAGCCTTGTCCCGCGTCCCCTCCCACACCACGCTCCCCCAAGGTGCCCGCTCCCGGGCCGCCCACTCCTGGGCCACCTACGCCCACGCCCTTGCCTAGCACTCTGTTACCAGCTCCTCGAGTTGGCAACTAAGGAAAGAGCTCTTTGTTCAAGGAGACCTGGGGCCGTAATGACAGGGCCACCCAAGGGCCAGATGGCCAAGGCCCAGGACCATCAGCTGGGTCTGGGGACCCTTGGCTAGACGTGGAAGCTGGGGTCTGCTGGGACCGCCTAGCTGCCTCAACGCTGGGACAGGAAGGGGGTGCTAGGAGGTGCCCGCTCGGAGCTCAGTGTGGCCGCTTCGGCTCATCTCCTCTACCTGATCTCAGAATGGTGGGTCTCCCAGACCCTCCCAGACAAGGCTTTGGGGAAGGGGGGGGACCTTGAAACCACCCAGGACTGAACCCCGTGAGCTCCTGGCGAGATGGCGGCCAGACCGCCTCAGTCGCCCTGTACTCACTGCCCTGTCCTTCGCTGCTGTTGCCCTTTCTGGGGTCCTAGAGCACCCAGCTGGCGCCCGGCAGGCCCCATGTCCACATTCCTTCCTCTTTGGGAAAAGGAAAAGGGAAGGTGACACCAGGGCCTGGAATAGTCACTGTCCGGCCAGGCCGTGCGCCTATGGGCTCAGGGGGCCCGGGGGGACAGGCCCAAAATAGGCCTGAGGCCTCTCCTAGCGAGCCCGTGCCGGGTGTGGTGTGATGGCCAGGGACAGGGCCGGTGACAGTGCCGGCTGGGGGCCAGGGCCGGGCAGGCCACCGCAGCTGCAGCCGTCACTCACCCTGATCAGGACCAGGCAAGATTGGAAGGGACAGCTGGGATAGGGCTGGGAGGCCACCCTCTCGGGTGACAGGACTTCGTGTGGAGAAGGGAACCATATGGGCAGCAGAGGGGAGTGCAGTCTGTTCTGACCTGAGCCCACGTCCACCACCACCCCCGGCCCCTTCTGGATCTGGGTCATAGTGGAGTGCTAGCGGCCCGGGCCGCTGTGGGATGAGGCTGGGGTCCCTGGCAAAAGAAGACCCAGGGTTCCTGGCGCAGAGCTGAGCTGGCTTCCCTGGTACTGAACGGGCAGGCACGGGGTGGACGGCCAGTGTCCCCACTCTCTGCTCCCAGTCCCTGAAACTAATCATCGGAAGTCAGCTCCCATCCCTCCGAGGATGGGGCAGGCAGTGGGCCTGGTAGTGGGGGGTGGCGCTGGGGAGAGAGGCCGGCTGAGGAAGGGAGCCGAAGGAATCCAGCTGCCCCAACCCTGCCTCGCGTCACCATCCCCTTCTCAGCTGTCCCCAGTGCCCACATTCCCAGCCTTTTTGGGAAGAGGGGAAGATAGCCAGAGGCTGGGAACCAACATGGCCTGAGGCAGTCTCAGGGCCATCTGGGCAGCTGTGCCTTCGGCCCTGCCCCCACGAGGCCCAGGACCCCCGGAAAAGCCTGTGGAGTGCCTGGGCCCTCCGCCCTTGGCCTGTCTGCCCTGCCTTCCCTTCTCCCGGGCGGTCATCTGCCTGCAGGGTAGGGCCTCGGTCTGCCAGCCTGTGAGCGTGTGGGCAGGGGCTAGGTAGGTCAGAGAACCCTGCAGTGGGTCTTGGGGAACAGCTGTAACGATGGACAGAACACCTCTTGGCTGGCGTTCCGTGATGGCGTCTCTTTCCAGAGGCCCCGGCCTTGCCAGCTCACACTCACGAAAGTCTCTCCACTGCTTCCGGGTCCCGTTAGCTTTGCACACTCGGGGAGCTGCTCCGTGCCACCTGGCTGCTTCTGAAAGGGATTGCTGGTCCCCCAGACCCCTACCCAAAGCACCTGCCTGAGACCCCTGCCTGAGGGGAGCCTGGAAAAAAATCAAACCCAGGAGGACCTTCCCTTAAAGGAAGCATTGAGCCCCCATGAGCTCTGCAGACCCACCTCAGTTTACCTATTTGTGACAAGACGGGCCAGGCCCCATCCAGTCCCCTGGGCCTCCAGACTCTAGGACCAGCCAGCCTGCCTTGCATCCCACCTGTCTTTGCCCCTCAGAGCCCCCTGGACCCAGCTGCAGCAGGCCCTCAGTGAGGACAGCAAGGCCTCATCGTCCCATGCACCAACGTTGTCACCATGCCTGAGCCTCCCCAGGGCAGTCACACAGCGGGCAGCTGGAGGGCCGGTCCCTCGCTAGCTGCTCCTGCCCCACAGGTGTGCACCGGCCCTCGGCTGCCTAGCCCAGAGTGGCAGTGGTGGCAACCATTCCTGCCTGACAGGGAGACCTCCCCAAGGCTGCACCAGCCAGATGCGAGTTCTGCTGCCTGAACCCTAGTCTAGGTTTTCCAGTACAGCCACCCCGTTGGGGTCCTCCTCCTTTGATAGCCACCTGAGGGCAGGAAGGGTCCCCAGGAAGGGAGGAGACAGGGGCACTGGAGCCTGAAGCACTGGCGCGGAGCTGAGCCGGCTTCCTGGGTGCTGAACGGCAGGCACGGGGTGGGCGGCCAGTGCCCCAGTGTCTGCTCCCAGCCTCTGAAACTAATCATCGGAAGCCAGCCCCATCCCTCCCACTATGGGCAGGCAGTGGGCCTGACTCAGATGGGCGAGGAAGGAAGGCCTGCTGCACAAGTTCTGAAGGTGAATGAGAGGCTGCGAGTCGCCGTGAGCGGGGCTCACCTCGCAGCAGCTCCCACCAGGACCATGGCAGTGATTCCTTATGGTGTCCGAGTGGGGGGGCCCTGGGGCTGGGCTGCCAGACCCCCCAGAAGGCCAGCTCCCGAGGAGCAGGGTGGAGATGGAAGAGGGCAGACATGGGCAAGGATGGGGCCCACCTGGACATGGGAAGACACGGAGGAAAGGAGAGGGAGCTTTGGCAGAGGGAAGAGGCTGGAGCTCCCATCTCGAGAGACAGCCTGAGGACAGGCACTTGTGAGGGCAGGCAGGTGGTCCTATGTCCGACTGGAGCACCTTAGGGAGGCCCCAGTCTCTTTCCAATGAGGTCTCTGCCTGGGTGGACCACTGGCAAGCCAGCCCTTCTCCTGGACCTGAGCCCACATCAGAAGGTGGGCAGCCAGCCCTACAGAGTCCCTGGTTCACTGGGGACAACTTTGGGGTCCCAGGTGCCCAGTATCACTGCAGCCCCTCCTGAGCCCTGGGAAGGTCCCTGTCTGGGAGGCACGTCAGGAAAAGCAAAGCCCGGACACTTTCTTTTGGGGAAAGGAAAATGTGTTTGTAAAATGGAGGTGGCTGTGCATGCTCCTGCATACATGCACACATCTGTGTGCTCACATGTATATGTACATACTATGTACTTGCACTCACACATGTACAAGCATGCTCACATACACATGCATGCACACTCACAAGTACACACGTGGGGTTCCCAAGGCATGCCCTCTCCCTGCACTCAGTGTGCGCAGCTGACTTCATGTGCAAATCCTTCAGGGATCCACCACAGTGGAGCCCAGGAAGTCTCCCCCTTCCAGCCCAGTGAGGCCAGACTTCTCATCCCTGCTGGGACAGTGGGCGGGTCTCAGGAGGTGTCCGAGCTGAGAGTGGAGGCGGGCCTGCAGCCCAGGGGCCCACCTGGCAGGCTGGCAGCGGGAGCTGTGATGGGTCAGCCTCCAGGACTCCCCTGGGAGCTGAGGGGTGGAGGCTCTGAGAGAGCCCCCGGGCTCCAGCCAGGCTGGGAAGCTCTGGTGTGTCTTGTCCAGGTCTCTGGCCAGGCCCTGCCCTGCAATAACGTGCTTTGCTTCTGTGAGTGCAGCCCTGCCCCCACAACCCAGGGCCTGGTATCACTCAGGCTTCCTGGACAAAAGCCACCACAGCCCCAAGCCAGGGCTTAAGGAGACCCGCCATTGAGATGCCTTCACTGCGGCCTAGAATAGTGGGATGGGGGAGGCATCAGGGCACAGAGGCCCTGCTCCCTCAGCAGGTGGCTGTGGGGCCTCAGAATCACATGTTTGCTCGTGTCAGAGCACATGCAGGTACATACATGTACACTTGAAAGCATGTACACAGATGTACATGTGCACACACGTACAGCACACATACAGCATGCATGTATACACAGAGATACAAAAATCTTGCATGCTGTGCACACACATGCACATGTGCATGCTCATGCATACATGCACACATCTGTGCGCTCACATGTGTATGTACACATTACATACTTGCACTCACACATGTACAAGCATGCACACATGCACACGTGTACAGTAACACAGTGTGTGCGGTGCATGTTCACAATACACACATGTGCATACACATGCATATACATACCCCTGTGCACAGCCTTATGCATGCACATGCATGCACACACAAGAAATCACACAAGCATGCGTACACTCACACACATATGCACACATATGCACATGTATGTGCTCAAGCATACACTTACACATCCGCACACACATACACACACTCATGCACACATGCAAACATACACATAGTGCATCCTCACACACATGCATATGTATGTACACACTCACAGACATACACACATGCACATGCATGTGCACAGTCACACATACACACATGCACACATTTGCTCGCATATCCATGCTCACAAGTATATACACACATGTACTCATGCACATGTGTATGTTCACTCACACACTCATGTACATACATGCACAATGTATGTGTGCATGGTCACACACACAGTGCAAGCATGCAATGCATGCATACACATGGCTACACATACACCCACATGCACACAGTGCATGCTCACATACACATGCATGCACACTCACAAGTACACAGATACACATGTGCACACTCATTCACCCGCCTGTGCACGCTCTCATGTACACCCACACATGCACAAATACACAGGGCCTTGCTGCCCTCTCCTGCATCTCTCCTTGGAAGCCCAGAGTTGGAAGGAGTCAACATTTGGAGTTTGTAGCCTCCCTCAACTGAGAGCTCGGGCGCCCTGGTGCAGAGGTTTATACAGAAAGAAACTTTGTTGGTTACCAAGGGTGGCGGGGAGGGGAAGGAGCACTGCACAAAGCAAATGCATTGACCCATGCCACTTTAGGTTTTGTATTTTACTGTACGTAAATTACAGTTCAATAAAATATACTTTTAAACAGGCGGGAGGTCT